CGCCCTTCCTTCTCTCCTCGGGAAAAAGCAAATTACAAGTCAGGAGTGAGCTCTTTACTAGTCCTCACGTTATCTGATTGTGAAATTGGTGGTTTTCTAAACTGCGCGATTATGGGGAAGACTTTCAGTCCCCCGGGGAGAGAGTTGAAAGAGCGGAGCTGCGGGAGCCGGGGAGCGGGGGCTCTCGGTTTCAGTTTAGAAATTGGCCGCAGATGGCAATTACCGACGGGGCGCTCCGCGGCCGTCCCTTCCCCTCCTCTTGCCTCTGCTTCGCCGCTTTCTCTCGCGTGTGCGCTAAGCGAGGGATGTACGGCGGTGGCCCGGCGCCCGCGGCACGGAAGCTCCCCGCCCCTCTCCTTGCGCAGCACCCGGCCTCCCGCGCCGGGAGGTTGGGCAGCGCCTCCTCGCCGCCGGGAGCCCCGCTCGGGGTGCGCATCCCGCAGGCGGCTTTAAAAGAAAACCCCAAAAAATCCACCACCGGGTTCCTGATGGAAGTACTCCTGTGGCTACAGTAAGTTATTTTTGTTAATGACTCAACTCCTTGCTTTCTGGTAAAGATTACAGAGCCAGCGAGAAATGTTGGATGGGATCTTTGGGGCGTTTCCTCCATTTTGCTGGAGGACGACTAATACTGACCCTCCTGAATTAAAAAGACTGGAGGAGGGAGAAGCGCATCCTTTGCACAAGGCTGAAGCCTCAGCCTCTGAAGTTCAATTGCAGTGAATTAGTAAAAAGAGAATAGAAGTTTAAAATGGAGGTGGGGATGTGGGGCAATGGTTGCCTAAAGCCCATCAGCCGCTACATGGTGCTGCTCTAACCCCAGCCTTGTGAATGTAGTTACCGCTGTGAGCGGCACACTTAGCAGAAATTAGTTTGGGTTTCCTTTGTGGTTTCCCATAAACTTCTGAATGTGTTTTCAAGTCTTTACAGGAACGTCTCCCCGAGATGGTTATCGTGTCCTGGGAGGATGAATCACTCAAACACCTGTTTGTCTCTGCTGTAGGTTATGCTGCTGATAATGGCTGGAACCAGAGCAGAGGACTGCAGGGAGGGAGAATACTTAAATGAAGGTCTCTGCTGCCTGTCTTGTCCAGCAGGTAAGACTTCAGGCAGTTACAGCTGATGATGGCCGTGTTTTTTTTCCCCATGGAGATGACTGCATCACTGTTGGTTTTTTTTACACTTCATCCGGTGAAAGTATAAGCCCAGTTGGAGCTGTGGTGGCTTCTTGGTGCTGTTAAGGCCGGACTCCATTTTGAAGCCCCTTGCGCAATAGGCGATGACTGGGAGATATGCTTGGCAGCAAGCCAGGAAACCTCTGGCCCACGGTTGAGGATGAAGTGTTCGAAGTTGGGTGTTGTGTGTTTGGCTTTGTGTTTTTTTTTTCTTTGTTTTTTTTTAAAAAAAAAAAGCTAGTTAGCACAAAGACCAGACGTAGGGGAATTCTGATGTTTCTGTATCTGGAGGTAAAACTTTGATTTGACTTTGTTCTCCCCTCCTTGCTCAATGTGTGCATAGTTAACAAGCTTTGTGCCAAGAAGCATCCTGCCCTTAGGTAGAAAGGGAGGGTTATTAGGTGTATTTGAGGATAATTCAGACAAAGGAGAAGAGAGGTTTCTACAAGCAATTCTCCCTGTGCCTGCCATGCTCCTTCAGAGGACTGACTCCACTGTGAGTCATCATCGTCCCCGGTGTGTCCCAGCAGAGGCCTGGCTGGATGCCTCGTTTGCCACCCCTCCCTGCCTGAGTGGCAAGCTGCGAACGTGCCTCCTGATGCAGCTGTGCTGCTCAGTTCATGTGGTGTACCGCTCACTTGCAAGGAGAGGTTGAACTTTCACCAGAAACGGCTTTGCGTTGTAACATCCTGTTATAATCCTCTGCCTGTTAAATGACCCCTTGAGACTGCTGCCGCTGCCGGTTCTCCTCTTCCACAGGTACTTACGTTGCTCAGCACTGCAGCGCTTCGCATTTGAGAGGAAGGTGCATCCCTTGCATCGAAGGAGAGGGTTATACCGCCCATGAGAACGGCTTGGAAGAATGCTTGCCGTGCAGGCAGTGCAAAGAGGGTACCAAGCACAATTTTGATGAAACCTTAACCCTTTTCCCCTTTTTTTAATGCGGAAAGCCTGGTCCTCTGGGTTTTTGCAATTCCAGTCATTGAGAATATTGAACTTATAAATAAGTTTGTGGCCTGAGTATAATTTTTGCGCAGTTAGAGAGTCACAACTTTTATATTTATTTTGTAATTTATATTTTATTTTTAGATCAGATAACTTTGAGACCCTGTACTCTGATGCATGATACTGAATGCCAATGCAAACAAGGGTATTTCTGCCCTGTTGAGGGCTGTGAAATATGTCAGAGATGCAGTACAATGTAAGTTTGATAACGAATATAAGTGACTATTTTCCTTCTAGGGACCATTAGAGCTGTGGCCCAATCTGTGCCAATACCTAACACATGTTATTAAGCTGTAAATAATTGCCCTGAAACCAAATGGCATTATTCATGCATTTAAATTTTAGGTGTCAAAATACGTGAGGCTGAGACCTAGAAAGATACGGATTTCGGTATTGTGCTTGTTGCTTATGGCTGTAAGCTTACACTTTTCTTGTCTTCAGATTAGTACTTCCCCACATACACACTTGAATGAGCTTTGTAGCAGCCAGTCCAAAATTTCGAGAGGTAGAACCACCTGTTGAAGGAAACTACCTGTGCATGAATAATGCATCTACTCGGTGGGTTTTTTTTTCCCCTGCCACTTAGAGGCTAACATACATGAGCTTTATCTGCTTTGCTTCTATTTAATCTTGTAGTATTATCTTGGGCTGTTGAAAGGTGCACTTCTAACAAAGTTATCTGTTTATGCATGTTCTGTTCATGTCTCTAAGCTCTGCCCGAAAAAAAAAAACAGGCCTGGGCAGAGCTGCATATTGCTCTGGGAATGTTGATACAATCCTGTGTTGCCATCCACTTCAGGTGTCCAGAAGGGAAAGAAATTGTGCAGAATTGCAACGCTACTATGGACCTAGGATGTGGCTTACCTGATCAAGGTCTGGTACACAAATACAAATCAGCTTGGTCTGTGGCTTGAGGCTAATAACACCAGAGCAGCCTGTTAAACAGTGGTTTGAACTACTGTAACGTGTTTCAGAGCTTCTGTATTTTGATCTGGGAATTACTTGCTAGAGACAAGTTCTCAAAGGGCTTGGAGTGACAAACCATCTTAAATTTCACTCAGTGAAAAACTACATGTATTGCCAGGGTTTTCAAAGTTGCAACAGTGATGCTGTTGAAAGTTATGGACAGTGCAAAGATTTCTTTCATGTTTTCTATGTCTGAGGAGCTGCATATGGAGTGGCTTTCTCTTCTGCTGTTAGATAGCTTCTGCCAGACTAGAGAAAGAAGGAACCGACACTACCAACACTACAGCGCCTGAAGCTCGCTGCTATCTTTTGCGTACTTGTTTCCCTGTTCTCTTAAATATCTCTTCAGAAAGCCTTGTAGAAGTTGTATTGCAGCTATGTACGGAATCCCCTGCTGCCTTTGGGATAATGATGTGCAGTGCGAATGAGGACTTGCATGTTCAGGTCAGCTGATAGTCCCAGTGCCTTTTCCAGGACAAGCTAGCTGGGTCATTGTACGACTGCTGAGCTTAGGTTGTTCTCTAGGACAGCAGGGAAGACTTGCACTTCAGAATATCTTGTTTGGGGACTGCTTCAGCACTAATTTTATTCCTTTCTCCTTCACAGGAAGCACGGCTATTGTTTGTGTTATCGTGATTATTTTGGTGGTTGTTGTTGGTGGTTTGGTGCTGTTCTTTGTATGTAGAAAGCTGAAGAGTGACAAAGGTAACTGCTTGATTACTATCCATAAACTTCCCAGAACTAGGCAAAGCATGCACTAAGGCTATCCCTGGTTTTTGTGTTACTTTATAGGCGACCTGTTTAAGCTCTAGCTCGTTTAGTATGTCATTCAATTAAGTAACTTCTGTATAATGGAGACTAGTCTTGTTCAGTAAATAAAATGCATAAACTTTAACTATGAGCTTTCTTCCTTTGCTGACAGATGCCTTTGCTTCAAAGCAAGATTAGTGTAATGTCCTTAAAAGGACTCTTCCTATCTACTTGCATTGTATTGGCAAAGAATGAGGAAAAATCTGTGTGTGAGCTCAGACTTATGGGGCAAGAAGTAGCAACTAACTAGATAATTAACTGCTTTCATTCACTGTGTTTGGCTGTGGAGATTTCTTCTACAAATTGTTTTCCTTTCATCATCTGAGCCTCTTAACACGAATGTTAGGTTATAAGTCCTGTAAGAATTAATTTTATTTTTTTAGTGGAAATTGAGATGTTTTCCTGAGAAACTTTTCTTTCCACTACTGCATATTAAAGTGTTTTGCAACTACTTTAGTTAGAACAATGTTGAAAACTATTCTGAATTTTGAATGTTAACTTTGTTCAAATCATGTCTTACTGATTGTATTGCAGTAAAGACAATTTCTGCCTTTTCTTTGTATTGCAATAGCCCATAAAAGTGCTAAGAAGCATAAGCTAGAGGGGTGGGGGCTGAAAGAGTGGCTTAAAAGCCAAACTGCATCTTGCAGTCTGTATTTTACAAAGTGGGACTCTTCATCCCCTGTATGAAGGCACAGGGTTTGTGCTGTTGCTGGATGCTAAGGGAAGAGCTCTCATGAAATGTATAACAGGTCGAGGAAACTAAATGGCTTGTATTGGAGCTTTCATTTGTGTTACGAATGTGTCTACTGCATATAAATCTTGTGTGAATTCAGCTATGTTTAAGTTGCTGCAATTCCTGAAAGTTTCTTAGACACTTATCTTGTTTTACAGCTGCTTCAACTGACAAAGATGCAGAGAAAGGTCTGGTAAGTATATGATGGATCAAGTGTTTCATCTCAGTTTTGTGCAGCTTAATTGTACCTGATACACAGCTCTCAGTTTTTGTCTCGCTGTAGACCTCTGGTAGGATGCGTTCCTGTGATGCAACAAGTTTGTGATTCATACAGGGCCAGATGTTAGCAAGGGCCTGATGCATTCATTAGCTGCATGTGTCCAATGCAGTTGGCCTTTCCAGTACTTCCTGTGGAAACATTCCAGAGTCTGTGGCCAGCATGTTTTGAAAGTGGAAAAAAATTAGGCTAAGTGCAAGCTTTCACTTCAAACTTTCTCCAAGTGATGCCTTGATCGAATTAGTTCTTTGCCGCTTCATGCATGTATTCCCCAGACAATGTCAGATATTGCTTCCTTACATGGTGGTGGTCTAGCTTTCCTTGCATTTTGACTACAACATTTTCATAAGACTTACTTCTCTTGATCCAGCAAAGTGACTGAGTCTTCCTGCCTTTGGGCTCGTGTCACAACCTACAGACCAGGACCTGGCAGTCTAACGTCTTGGTCCTAGACAGTCCCATAAGACAAGGAGTTCAGGGCTCAGAGCATACCATTTCAGAAGGACATCCCTGAAAAGGGTTTACCAAGCTCAGGCTGGCTGCTGGCATATGTTCCACTTTAAAGCTAGGTTCACCCTGGTCTCCTGTAGTCAAACACTATTTCAGAGCCTTACTGTTTCAGTCTAAAAAGATTGTTGCTAGTCTAGCGTTTTGCAAGATAAATACAAGACTAGCTTGTATTTAGCTAGTCTAGTTTTAACTTCTCTGTTTAGAAGCTACACTCCTAACAACACAGTGAGGCAAAAATGATCTCAGTCTTCACTAGTAGAGTTAATGATGTGTAACACCAAACTGTAAAACAAATGTTTGTCTTGATGAGGATCTAAGAAAAGCATTCAGATTCCTCTCGTAGCATGTGTACAGCACCTTCTTCTCCCTGCTGCCTTTCTTGTCCCCCACCCAATGCATGCATTACTCACATGGTGTGTGAGCTCTTGTCTAATCTTACTATTAGACATTTCAAGTAATTAAATGCGTCTTAATTATGTCACGCATACTTGAAGACTGAAGAAACAGAAGTGAAAGATCTGTTAAAAACATCACCTTAAACTCTTCTCTTTTTTAAGGTCCATAAGTGGCTCAAATATGTGAATCACCCATGGGTTTTTGTTGGGTTGTGTCTCCCCTCACGCCCTGGACAGATTCGCAGCACTTCGTCTATTCGTAGAAGCTGATGAAGAAACATGACAGAGAACCTGGTCAAAATGCTGTAGCATAGGAATAGGCAAATATCTCTTTAGTTTGAATAAAATGGTAGTAGAATAGTGCAATCACAAATTGGCGTGTGGTGACGCTTAGGTCTGATGTAAGAGCTGTCACAGACTTGAGTTGCGATGTCTGCACACGTCAAGTGTTCACACTACTGTAACAAAAACCTTATTTGCTAAGGAGAGTTACACTGATGCGGTCCTGCGACCAGGCGTTTTGGCACCAACATGCTGTCCTTTCCAAAGTACCAGTGAATTTATACTGCTGTAAAAAAAAAAAAAATACTGCTGATACTTTTATTTCATTCAAAAATAGAGCAGCAGCTATTAGTCAGCCATGCTGTGTACCTTCTGTTGCTCAGCTACCTATTTAAGAACTATTCTGTATAAATAGGATCAACTTGTTTAACCTGTTTGCACCCTTAAACAGAAAGTGGATTCAGTGAGGATGATGTGCAACTATGTGTGTGATGCGTGGGGTGGTCCCCCTCACATCCCTGCTTACAGATGTTGGTCACTTGCTGGTGTCACACATGGGTCACTGACCTTGTGCAAGCAGAAATCGCACTGGCTTACGCTCATGGGGGAACTGTACCTTAACAAACACAAGTCTCATTGGAAAAACAGTTGCTCCTCTCCCTCATTTTCCACCTTAAAAAAAAAAATAAATCCTAAAGCATTCCAGTTTTAGCACTAGCTGATATGCTAGATAGATGCTGGTCTGCTTTGTACTTGTACTGTTCTTGATGAGTTGGAGCTATGCTCCCTGGTATGTGCTTGTTTAATGTATTGACAATGCTAAAAACAACGCAGCCCTCCTCACTTGCTTTTCTCTTTATCCCCTCACAAAAGCTATGCAATGTGCATTGGTGCTCGCTGGCTTCTTTCAGCTGATTCTGGTTTGTGAATCGGCCGGAAAAACTAATCAAGCCAAAAAAAGCCCAAGCTAGCACACTTACATGGAGTTGATAGGCTATTATCAGCTCGGCAAAAGCACTGACAGCATCAGCCTTGATACAAAGATAGGCTTGAGGCCCCTGTTGCTGTTAGGTCAGCTCAGGTGCAGCAAGGCAATTTAATTTCCTCCTGCCTCAGGAGGGGTTGCATACCTTCCATGCCTAGAGACGAGCAAGCAGCAATGCACGCCAGTGAAAGCATTAGGAAAAGTTTCCTGCGTTTGTTGTGGAGGTAGCCTGTGAGCCTTACCCCACAGTCCAGTGAGAGCAGAACAGCCAGCAAAGCGGAGAGTTTACACTCTGAAGCCATTTGAAATCCAAGTCTATAAAGGCTGTAAATTTTACATGTTTGTAACTTTGCCAAATTAGCAGCTCTTCTATTATTTCTCTGACATCTGGTGGCTTCAAGTATTCTATTTTCTTCCTCCAGACTGTCCTTGAAGGCCTACCTATGAAACATCTCTTAAAATATGTTCTTATTCTTTACAGGAGTCTGAGGGCAGTACTGAAAGCCTCATTTTACCAGAAGTGGAGACACCTGCAAATAACGCAGCCAACCCAGAGGGTGAGAACTCCGGTGAGAGCCCAGAGGCCCAAGCACAAACCAGCATTAACTTGGAAGACACATCACCAGAGAAA